TAAAAAAATATTTCCATTTAATTGACAATTTTCATGTAAAACAAAATCAAACAAATATCGAAAGATAGATGATTTTCTTGATTTTTTTTTTTTGTTTTGGCAATGGAAACAAATTTCATCCCCAATACCAGTAAATTATATCCTTTTAATTGACAATTTTCATGTAAAACAAAGTCAAACAAACACTAAAAAACACTTTTATTTCAATATTTTTAACGTGAAAAATTATACCAATCCAACACAGTAATTTACAATTCTCAGGAAAACCATTTTTAGGCAATTCAATTCCATTTTTGCAATCAAATGGACCATTATTGATACTTAGCCCTTGTTTGGATTCTATTAATTCTAAAATGCATTTTTCACATATTTTCAATCTTACATTCTTTAATAAAATAATATTACTCATAAATTCAAAAATTTTCCTTCTTTTTTAATTGTACATTCTCCAAAAAATCACCATTACAATTTTTTTTTTTTCACAGAAAAACTAATTATAATGGAGTTCAAGCAGGCTTAGAATTGAAGAATTATTGTTGTACGTAATGATGATGTGCACAATTTATATTATTTATGTTAGACCCCATTTTCAACAATTATTGGTTTTTTTTTTATTTAACAAAAAAAAATCCATTTCTAATAATTTAATTTTTTTTCCTGAAAATAATATTGTAAATTTTAAATTCAACTAAAACATGTCATCATACTTAATCGAGGTAAATAGTTCCCCAAGAAGTTGACCTTGCCGTTAGATAAATCTGGAAGGCAAGATATTTCGTGTAATACTAGGCTTATTTAATATTTAGAAATTAATACATAGGTTTCATATAATAAATTTATATTAAGAGTAAAGTAGCTTATTTAGCCCCTGTTTGATCCCCATTACGTGGAAAAATTAATGGGAGGAATACTATTTTTTTGAAAAATGAGTGGTTGAAAAAGAATAAAAAGCTTTCGATTTACGTGTAATATTATTTTATAAAAGATTGTATGGTTGAAAATAGGAGAGAGAAAAATGAAATGTAATGGGGCTTAAACAGGGGCTTAAACTTTTTAAATATGGTATTTAACGAGATATCAAAGTCAATTCAAGTCTTTATTATCAACCATTTATAAAAAAAATTGTTAGTTAGGTCTTTGATTAATAAATGCATTAGAGCACCAAGATGGTATATTAAAGAACACTTAAATAATTTAATATGTTATGTTTTCTAATAATATTTAAGTTTTTAGTTGAAATGATTCAATGATTTAATTTTCATCAAAAAATTGAATATTATCTTCAAAATCAAGCACTTTTCGAAGTTGAAATTATCAACTCCAATCACTTGAAGATACATATATGTGTGTGTGTGCGCGCGCGCTTATTATAAACTTTATATTCGAAAAATGTAGTAGCAAACATGACGAGTAACAAGAGTGGCTTTCATAGATAAATATAGTCGGCGAAAGAGCAGGAAAAAAGAGATGGTTGGATTATTTATCGTTAATCAAATGATTAATACTCTCTCTGTCCCTTAAAAATATGTTTATTTTTCTTTCTCATTCGTGTCAAATTATAGGTTACATTTCTTATTCAGAGTGATTAATTTCTTAATTTTTTAATATATTCCTAATTAATGTGCATTATTATCAATAAATATGAACTACTCATTAGGATAGAAAGGAAATAATATATTCTAAGTTTATCAAATTGCCAGTGCCTCGAGTTTCCCCGCAACAGACCTCCAGGGTAACGGGGAAGGGCAGCCGTTTACAAAGTGTTCCCATGTGCAAAAGTATAAATATGCAACAACTGACTTTCCTTTTATGGAATATGTATATACACATGTTAGGATTAATAAAGAAAATATATTTCATTTTTATAAATTTATTTATTGTTGAAATTTTCTTTGGTACTCAAATATGTTAAAATATTTATCTTTTTAATATTATTAACTAAAAATTCAGAGCTGACAGATAATAACACTTTGCCTAGATCACCAACAGCACCACAGTATTTGATTGAGTGTGACTAACATTATTGATTCTAGTGAGGAACCTGCTACATATTCAGAGGTGATCAATTGCAATAATTCTAGTAGATGGTTGAATCCTACGCAGGAAAAAATGAAGTCATTGAATAAAAATAGCACTTGTGACTTGGTAAAATTACTTAAAAGATAAAAAGGTTGTTCACTGCAAGTGGGTGTTCAATAGGAAGGAAAGGACATCAAGGATCGAGATGGAAGGTACAACGCCAGATTTGTTGCAAAGGGCTACAGTCAGATTCTAGATGTTGACTTCATAGATGTGTTCTCACCACTTGTAAAACATAGTTCAATTTGGGCTGTATTTGGGGTTGTGGCTAAGAATGATTTAGAGTTTGAGTAAAAGGATGTCAAGACAACATTCTCTCAAGGAAAACTTAAAGAGAGCATTTACATGCAACGACCAGAGGATTTTATAGTTTCTAGAAATGAAGACTATGTTTGCTTGTTGATTAAGTAATCAATAAATAACTAATTGCAATCACATTCCTAAAATTTTCAGAACATTGTAGCTTAATCCTAAATTCTCCTCCACCACCACTTTCACAACCCAAACACCTTCCGGCCACCATACCTGCCGGACTCTACCAGTATCAGCCTTACCTCACTCTTCCCTACGTTGAACCCACTTGAATTCGTAGGAAAATCAAGCCAAAATCTCCAAAATTTGTCACTTATAGGCTTATGAAGAACATCATTTGTCTCCAAAATTCGGCAAACAAATGCTGTAATTTCTGTAATTGAGCTATTACTGAATGCTTTTTGACCTTGAATTTTATTTCTCCCATATTGATTTATGTATTGAATCACATTTGAGCCATGAATTGATAGAAGAAAATCTCCTTCGCGCGGATAGGTTGTTCATTGGAAGAAACCCCCATAACTGCCATTTCCAAGCCAAATTGGGGATGACCCATATGTTCATTGGATGTGCCATGAAGAGTAGGTGCTTGTAGTGGTGGTCTGTGATCATGAGCCCCACCACTATCGTTGAAAAATTTGTCTGAAAGTTGTACAATCTCTGTGTTTGAAGATGAGCCTGCTAGTTTTGATTCCATGTGTTTATNGCTTCAGAACAGTCCACTTCAAATTATTCTAGTCCAGAGCTAACAGACAACAACACTTTGCCTATATCACGAACAACACCACAACATTCGATTGAGTGGGACTGGCATTATTGATTCTACCGAGGAACTTGCTACATATTCAGAGGCGATCAGCTGCAATAATTCTAGCAGATAGTTGAATCCTATACAGGAAGAAATGATGTCATTGAATAAAAATAGTATTGGTGACTTCGTAAAATTACTTAAAAGATAAAAAGGTTGTTCACTGCAAGTGGGTATTCAATAGGAAGGAAAGGACGTCAAGGATCAAATATTGAAGGTACAAAGTCAGATTTGTAGCAGAGGGCTACAATCAGATTCTAGATGTTGACTTCACAGATGTGTTCTCACCACTTGTAAAGCATAGTTCAATTTGAAATTTACTTGGGGTTGTGGCTAAGAATGATTTAGAGTTTCAACAAATTGATGTCAAGACAACATTCTCTTATGGAAAACTTAAATAGATCATTTACATGCAACAACCAGAGAATTTCACAGTTTTTGGAAATGAAGACTATATTTGCTTGTTGATTAAGTCCTATATGGACTGAAGCGTCACCGAGGCAATGGTATGAGAAATTTGACTCATTCATAACTACTCATAATTTCACTAGAAGCAGTTGTCATAGTGTTGTGTACGTCAGAAAGGGAGTTAGTGGATCGATTACATATCTACTGTTATATGTTAATTGTATGCTTATAGTAACAAATGATATAAGTAGAGGTCGGAAAGGTAAATGTTTGCTTTATGAGGAGTTTGAGATGAAAGACTTAGGTACAATAATGAAGATTCTTGGTATGAAGATCTTGAGGGATGTGAAAGCTATCTGATTGTATTTGAGTTAGAAGGGGTACATTGAGAAGATGTTTCATAGGTTTAATATGGTGGATGCAAATACTGTCAATACTCCCTTAACTACCCACTTTAAATTATCATCTTGCTTGTGTCCGCAGTTAGATGAAGACATTGATTATAAATTTCGGGTTCCTTATTTTAGTGCAATTGGTTCACTAATGTTTCCTATGATTTGTACAAGACCAGATTTGGCACGTGCAATTAATACAGTTAGTAGG